GGTACCCAATATATAATCAAGCTGTTTCTCCAGGTTTTGGAGATTTTGGATGCATTCACTTATAAATTTTGATGTTATTTTTTTCATGTTAATGCTTTACGGCTGCTATCCGATCTTATGAGGATTCATTTTATCAGTGTAACCTGTTTTAAGATTTTCTAAAGCTCAAGTACTGATGTATTTCAGTTTTAAAGATCGATCTAATGAGTTTAACTGCTCATTTTATAGGCTTGTATAGAAATCCTGATCTAGATCCTTCATTGGTTTTTGTGTCATCTTTTACCTTATTGAGCATTGAATCCCGCATTTTTGGGTTGGTCTTTTGAGAAGCCCATCTAGATGACTTAGAAAATTAGCTATGTGAATAAGATCTAAATTTCGGTGAAGGTTTGAGCTTGGCAATTGGTTGTTTAATTAACAAAGGGTTAAACACAGAGTATTAAATCGTTTGTTAAAATGTTGTGAGCCTGACTTAGATCCATAAAATCTCCAGTTTCCCTCATTAAGGGTCCTACTGGTTCTCGAAGACTGAATCGGGAGGTATTTTTAAAGGAAGCAATTCAAAGATTCAGTATGGTTTCTTTTAATCGATGATTCTTTTGATTGTTGTGTTAGACGTGTTATTTCGATTTGTAATGATAAAGCGTCTCTTCCGCACCGTTAATGTTATTTCTGGGATTCTTGAAAACATACGCGTTTTGGAATTACTCGTTCGTACATCCGTGGGAAAGTATAACTTATGCACTTTACCAAGATCTGAAGATAACGGCTTGCACGGTTCTTGGACAGAGATGATATGTTTAATAACTTTCAATATTGAAAACACCCAAAAATCAATCAAAACAATTTGAATTTGACAAGTCATGTGTATTCGTTGTGGCGGGGTGTGTGTGTTCCTTTATCACTAAAACGAAAACACCTAGGAAACTTTTCAAATACTTGTGTTTCACCAGCCAAGTCTCTGTTTTTTAGCACGTGTGCCTATGTTCGAATGTATTATATAAATGTATATAAAAGTGAGAGTTCCTACAAATATAATGAGGTGAAATTAATGTGCAATGAATTTTTTCTTCCCACCATTGACGCCTAGCGGTTCTCACTCAGCACGATTATTATTTTTATTTCTAAACAATTAATCCAACCATAAACAAATAAATCTGGGTTCATTCTCTCACACAGGCTGGCCTTTATGCCAAGCTAAACGTAAAAGGTAATCGGCCAATTTATCCTTTCATATGTAAAAAATTTTATAATAATCTAACGATAATCAATGTTAGAAATTTCAATAACAAAACCATCAAAAAAAGTCTTAAAAATTTTACAACTATAGCAATATTTTCAAATCAAAGTTATAAAATAAATAATGATGGATGGTTAATAGGTAACCATATAGTATTATCTTTGAAAAATTAGTCTTTTACAATGAAAATTGGAAATTTAATTATATTGTTACGTAGAAAAAATTGTTTTTTTCGTGTTACCATTTAATTAAATAATCATTCTTTCCACATACACTTTTCATATTTGAAATGCCACCACTGATTCTTAATAAGAAATATATTTAAAAATAATAATAAAAACAATAAAGCTTATCTGTTAACGCGTGTTTGACCGTTATTAGAAGAAGGCTTCTTAAATGGGTCAAGTCCATCTGAAGAAGGATGAAGATGGCTGTTGGCCAACGTGACGGAGGCTGTGAACGAACACCTTAGACGTGTCAAGGATTAATAGAAGCTGACAATCTGGAGACCAATTTGTTGATCCACGGATAAATAACTATCGAATTATCTAAGCCGCCTTCTGAGGTTTGTCGGCTGTTTTGGAAAATTGGCGGATTCGGATCACGCGTACACTTAAATTATTCAATCCTTACTTATCTTTATACTCTTAATTATTACTAAAAAATTGTATATAGTTAAAAACACGTGTCGTATTTAGGAATGAAACTATACACATCATGCTTCCAATTTCAATTCCGTATCTAGTCATTTTGCCAAAGCGTTTGTTGTTTTTGTTGTAAGAAAAAGCTTCAAATCTCGTGGAACATATTCTTGAGTAAATTTAACCTATTAAAAGACAATGGGTTATTTATAATTTTCACGCGGATAGATGTTTTCATTAGCGTTCTGTTTCTAGGAATAGCATATCGATAATGTCAATTCTGGGCAAGTGGACTAAAACAAACATTCCAATAAATTGAAACTGTGAACCCTTTCTTTGATGTGTGGATTATCTTCCGGTGAATTTATGCTGAATGTGACGAGATGACTAGTCGTTAACGAAGATTACGTTGTGCACCAAAGGAACCGTCAGCCAATCCTTGGGACGATTCATTTCATCGTTAGAAAATGAGTTTCTTTTCCGCCACACTGATAATTGCTAATAATAAATCTCGAAGTTGGAAAGTAAAAGCTCGGGACTTCCTTTGTAGGCCTTTTTGGGACGGTTTGTTGCATATAAAGCTCGCGTGGTCGCGATCACTTTCACACGATATCGTGGGAACGCTGACCAAATTTACTACTCCCAGTGCGTTTTATTAACTCAATTTATTAAATTATCAAATTTTACAAGGATGTTACAAGATAGCATAAGCAAAAGATAAAAGAGTCACAACAGAAACCAAAATTAACAAGCCTTCCACATGGGAGAAACGAATTTTTCAGATATATATTTGTATTTTACAAACTTTTCCTTAACACTAATGAATAGACCGTAAAAATAAATAAAGATCGCCCCATGACAATAATAAAAAACTGACCGATAATAACTTAAAGGAAATTAAATTTAGGTAAAATCTTAAAGTCATGGAGGTCTGAATCGAAGTGAAGTCCGTAGCTTTGTCAAGCCCAGTAGCAACCATCATTGTTCAAAAACATTCACAAATGCCCTGTCGATCTGTTTTTTTAATATATACAATTCAATTTCGCCCCTTATTTAAAAGACAAACACAATCGGAACGTAGACTTAAAACATAGTTATATAACTTTGTCACTCCATGACCTTTAATTATGCAAAGAAAGTCCGAAGGGGGCAAAGGTCGCTTGAAGAAATTTATGATCTTTACAAAGCCAGAAACAAGAAACCGACTGGCATCAAGAGAACAAAAGTCCGTTTCGAAACCGATTCTTTCCACGAGTTTTGCACACTTCAGCGTACACATGCATGAAACTAAACAAAACAAAAAAAATAAATAAAAACATGATGACTTTCGCTGCCTCTTTTTGTGTTTGCTGTTACTCTGTGGTTAAAGTAATGAATCATTTCTAAATATGGCCTAACTATTTTAATCAAAAAGACTTATGAAAACGAACCGAAGCATTACTCACAACACATGCAAAGATTCTCTCTCTCTCTCTCTCTCTCTCTCTCTCTCTCTCTCTCTCTCTCTCTCTTTCTCTCCATATTTACCTCTCTATCTTTCTAATTTATGTACTTTGTTCTCTCTCTCTCTTTCTCTCCATATTTACCTCTCTATGTTTCTAATTTATGTACTTTGTTCTCTCTCTCTCTCTCTCTCGCTCTCTCTCTCCACACACACACACACACACGAGAGCCCAAAAGATAAAATATATCCTGAGCTAATGATAATAAAAATAAAAATGTGAAAAATTCAGAGCTACAAAATTGTAATATTTTTCAATGTTTAAAAAAATACATGACAAAAGACCAATATATTTATTTAAAAAATATAGAATGTTAACTCAAATTCGAAAAAAAAATTAATTCATTCATTTAAAAAAATAAATCGATACAGAGCTAAATAACACCAAAAATGACAAAGTGTTGAACAAAAACGTATTAAAAATTAATTTATCTACAAAAGTATACAACTTCATAATTCACATATTTACATAACATCAAATAAAACGACATCAAATTTCAAAAAGAACTTAAAAAAATCACTGTCTACGTTATAGGTAACAAATAATTAAAAAGTTACATTTTCAATAAATAAATTATAAATTGTTAGATAAAAATTGTTTAATGTTCTGATAATACTGACATTGGTTTGAAGAATTAAGATTTGTGTATAATTTTAAACTGTTTCATTATTCTAATGTAGTTAAATACAGGGGCATAAATAAATCATTGTATAGTCATATATTATGGGAAAAAAACTTTTTGAATTTAATAACACATTGGGATGAAGTTAATTTCTCTCTATCTATCTCTTCTCTCTCTCTCTCTTTTCTCTCTTCTCTCTCTTTTCTCTCTCTTCTCTCTTTTCTCTCTTCTCTCTCTCTCTCTCTCTCTCTCTCTCTCTCTCTCTCTCTATCTCTATCTCTATCTCTTTCAAAATAGTTCAAAAACCAAAGCGACTATAAATAAAAGATCAATCATTAATCCGTCAAACTTACAAAATCTGTATAACTGTGATAAAGTGAGAATCCTCCAAATCTTCTGACTACAAATCAAATATGGGACGTTTCGACATGTGTGGACAGGTAATGTATTTATGTAAATGTACAAAGTAAATAAAACAAATAAGCTCCTACACATTTAAGTAAATATAAATCAAACCTTACAAAACTAAACGACAAGCTATAGACAAACACTTGTTGCAAAATTTATTCTTCTATGGGAAAAACAGACTGTCAACCTACTTACTACTAAGTAACCATTTTCTTCATTCTTCGAATGTTAGTTTTTAGTTTCAGCCTTACTACTAATAACAGATTATTTTTGGTTACATTTAGATTAATTGGCATCGATAGATAATGCGAGACGCTTGTTTTCTGTTTTTGCTTTTTCAATATATAATTCTATATTTCTGCGTTATTTAAAATAGATTTTTCTATAAATCAATTTTTATGGAAATAAAATTGTAATGATATAAATAATTATTTTAACATTTTTCCCTTAAATTTAACTTCTAGTGCCAATTGCATTCCAGTTTACAAAACTATTCTATAGAATAATTATGAAATAATTTATTGATTTACGTTGGGAGATGGATTTTGGGTCTATGATACACCGATAGAAAAACTAGATATACGTACATTAATAAGACGACTGGAGGTGCCATGGCTAGATCTCATTCACTACACGATCAACGCAGACTCGCTGACTGGCTCCAGGATTAGAAAAAGAGAAAGGAGCAGTATGAATCCTTTTCCACCACTCTCATATCCCGACAGGGTTGCTCCGGGAGGAGAGGATGTGTTTTTACGGCATAGTTAAGTCGGTATCGTCATTGAAAATCTCCAATCTAAATAATTGCAAGAAGAAGAACGGAGATGAGATTTTTAGACATTTAAATTTTGATGTTTTATATAATTACGAGGATTGATCATCCGCCAAAGATCAATTCATCCACAACCTGGTAGTAGGAGTAGTATTGTAGTAGTAGTAGATCCGAATAATTAATTAATTTGTTGAATAGAAAATTTATGGATAAACAATGAATGTATAAACGAGAAAACACCACCCCACCTTTTTTTAGAAAAAGAAGAAACGTTTCCTCTTTTGAGCTATGTAGTTTTGAAAGTAAAAATTTGATTTTAATTTGCAAAATTGTTTTAAAAATTAATGGTCTGAATTAGAGATGTTATTTATTTTTGGACAATGATTTCAATGATTTATGCCAGGGTCGGAAAACATTTTATATTCCATGCCCTCAACAATAAAATCGAACCTTGACATGTGTTGTAGTTTCGATGATTGCACGACCTCTGGAGGCTTTTGGTAGATAAATTACTGTCAAATACTTTTCGTAACTATGCGATCATTGTTCATTTTAAGCCGCTGGCAGTGGGGACTTCTTTTTCGACGCGACAACTTGCGGATTTACGGGTCATCATCATCTAAAAGACCAACCACAACCAAAAGTTGACCGTAACTGTTAACCGAAAATACAGAGAGATTTATGTGATCAAAAGGTAGCTAACACAGAAGCGGTCATGGGTTTATAAAAAAAAAAATTCGTTCTTTTAATACGGTGGAGTTTAACTAATCGAATGATTATTTATTTATTTATCGGGATTATATACTACGAATCAACAACATACTGTTGATATTTACTTTCTGTTGTTAAGAGTCTAATAAGTAGTTTATTCAACAAATAATCGTTGAAAAAAAGTAAGGACATTCTGGCTATCCTCGCTGTTTTAGACTGTCAAGTCGGCTGCTCGCCATCATCATCCGTGGGACTGAGTGTTATTTTACCAGGCCCATCACTAGATGACCAAAGCAAAGACCGAATCCGCGAAACCAGGCAGACCACATTTATCGCCATCAACCAAGTTACACAATCAAATAATTAAGTTACGAAATTAGTAAGACCGATAGGTAGAGAAACAGTTTAAGATTTGTATAGGTAGTTAAATAGGCAGAAATAGAGAAATTTAAAGAAAAATAAATAGAGACAGTGAAAGATAAAGATAGATAGAAGGAAAAATAAAGAGCAATGACACTTCTCTATAGAGATATCTAGCAGAGGAGAAATAGGGACTGAGGGTCAAGAATATATATAGCTAGAGAAAAGTAAAAAAGAGGAATAGGAAAGAGAGAGCGACTGGTAGACGGATAGAAATATATTTAGATACATAGCGATAGAAAGGAAGAGAGAACAAGAAAAAAAGAGTTGATCATAGAACGATAGATAGGTGTGAGAGGGACGAAAAGGTAGAAAAGAGAGAGTAAAAGAAAGATAGGTAGAGAAATATAAATAGATTGATAGTAAGAGAGAGAGAGAGAGAGAGAGAACCAATCTAATTGAGGGTCTATGTGTAAGATAACACACTAACATTCACTCTAATAAATGTATTCAGTCTAAATATGCGCAAAAGGAAATACAAAACGAAATATCTTTGTTATACATGCAATAAAACAGCACTGTTTCCTACAAAAATCGGAACAGGGGAACCAAGTACTCACTGCCGTGCTCAAGCACATTTCTCAAATCGAGTGGTATTCCTACACGCTCTCTATGTAGAGCCAAGGAATCCCTACACGCGGGCTTTGGCAGAAGTGTAGAGTGTGTCAAACAAATGCCGTGAGGATGATATCTCTACTAAGATTCAGATCCTCCGAGGGCCATTTATCGGCTTTGCTCTGATATCGTATACCCGCAAGAAAAGTGACACAACTCAACAAAAGAAAATTTTACTGGAGAGACAGATGGAAGGTTACTTGTTTTTATTTATGCACAACATAAGCTGTCATGATCCATCAATATTGTCTTTCGATTGTCCAAAACTTAAGCGAAAACACAATGCTTTAAAAATCCAGCTGTACCACTCCTAAAAAACTATCGCTTTTTGAGTTGTGACACTTTTCTTGCATATATGGGCTCCCAGTAATTTAGGTTAGTTTGTTTGCTCTAACGATAATGGTGGTCAATGAATGACTTACTGTAAGAGTATTAATTTCTTTATGGTAGTAATACACAACATACAAACCTAACAAACAAGCATCCGTTACAAAAAACATATTTGTACAATTGATTTAACAATTTTTTTTTCATAATGTGAAATTAACGTCATTAACTTAGGATGACCTTTAAATAGGTCGAAAGCTTGGCAGTAACAACTGAATTTACTTTTTTCTTCAAGACCTTGATCCAGGGTGTTCGTGAGTGAAGAATTGGTCGTTTACTACCAATATTGAAAACTGAAATAATTCTAAAATTAGTACTATGCTGTTATATTCACTTAATAGCATACATCTTAATTTTTCGCATAAAATATAATTATGGTAATTCAGTATTTACAATATTTGGATTTTCTGTAACATTTATGACCTCCAACTTTGAAGCTGAGCAATCATGCTTCCCGGATTTGTTACTGAAATCCGAAGAGCCAGAACTATGGGTCGTACTTTTCTTCTCATTGACCATTTCAAAGTGCAAGAGAGGATCCATAAGACTTAAAACGAAAGAGGTGAAAACTGACAGACTTTATTGACATTATTGACGGCAGTTTCATTCTTGTTGGTTGTCAACGAATTTGGAATCAGTTTGTCCACGTGATGTAAAAGTCATTTTTACAAATATTTAGAAAATATATGTATATATATTATACATAATATTCAAATAACTCTAAATCTTGAAAGTATCAATACTCGAAGTTGCGATGCCTAGGAGTAGTATATTAAAATGTGTTAAATTAAAGTGTTTATATTACAATAAGGTTATTAAAAGTTATTCCGGAGCAGCATAAATCCCTTCACTAAACAAGGAGAAAACTGGCCTGACTGGAAATGTGCCATTTTACCTGAGTACTTACACCGATGCTATAAAGCTGAACACAGAACTATGATACGCCAATTTTCGCAAATGGAGACAGTGCGTTCCCGCCAATTCAAAAGTGACACATGGAGTCCACTTACAGAATAGCATCATACAGCAGAATACGTCAAAAAAATAAGTAATCCGGTTATTAGAATTTTTTCGACTTGTGTCAAGTTGTGGCTGTACAGGTCTCTTTTCTGCCGATTTCCTTTTGATCGTTTTTTTTCAATTGTATTTTTACCGTCAGATATGCAATAGAATTTTATTACATGCTTATTTGGAGATCGTGAGATGATGCGGTCTGGTCTGACGTGGGTTTTAGAAAAATAATTTTTTTTATCGTGGCACGTTTCGATCTTTATTGAGATCATCTTCAGGGCCTGGGATTTATAAATATCGTTTAAATTTTACAAATACATGTAGGATGTGAAAAAATGAATTTATACAATGCTAGAAATTTTAGATTAAAAAAAAAATACAATTCTAGAAAATTTTAGATTCAATCAAAGTATTTGTACTCACTCAAATAACAAATACTTTGATTGAATCTAAAATTTTGTAGAATTGTATTTTTTTTTTAATCTAAAATTTCTAGCATTGTATAAATTCATTTTTTCACATCCTACATGTATTTGTAAAATTTAAACGATATTTATAAATCCCAGGCCCTGAAGATGATCTCAATAAAGATCGAAACGTGCCACGATAAAAAAAATTATTTTTCTAAAACCCACGTCAGACCAGACCGCATCATCTCACGATCTCAAAATAATCATAACTAACTGTCCCCAAACACCACACGCTTTATTACATGCTTCATGTTTAGATACAATGAAAGAGATTTATATTTTTATTTGAGAGAGAGAGAGAGAGAGAGAGAGAGAGAGATGATGAATCTTCAAAAGTAGAAAGACAGATTTGTAAGATATGACTGATTATACGTTAAAAAAATACATGTTGTATTCTAGAGTTTAATTAATGTGATATATGTATTTTTGAGTAAAGGTTTTATGTATTATTAAATCATGTTTTTTTAAGATCATATCACATTATTATCTGTAAAATGTCGATTTTTACAGCTTTCAAAGTGTGCAAAATTGTGTTACGACAAAAAAATCTCCTATTGTTGCAACTCTTTCAAACCGGCGTGTTGCCGAACTGAATCGATTCCACTTTTCTTCCAATGTGTTCCAGGTTGCACAAGACTTCATAATTAACCCGAATTTCAACCCGGAGCCGAAAGGACTTATGTATAAAACATACGAGGAGAAGAGCCGAGGAAGGACGCGCGGCACCTCGCCGTTTGCCGTTTGCCCTCTTAAGAATTTTGAATCGAACTTTCAAAGCTGTTGCATGCTCGGGCAACGCCGACGAAGAGAATAGCAATCAATCAGCAAGAATCTCGGGATGGGTGTCGCAACGGAAACAACAAATAGTACTCGCCGAAAAGGCAGTGCCGAATAAGAAATAATAACTAACAAACATTCATAGCCATTATATTTTATCATAGTTACTTTATGTATATTGCTTTTTTATACGTAATATGTATTAGTTTATATAATATACAATTTAGTTCTTCTTTACATAAGATGCAATATATCAACTCAATCTAAATATATTTCCAACAAGTTAAACATTTTTTAAACTAAAAATTATTTTTTTTGATTTTAACATTCGAATAGACGTTCTTTACACTGAGATCATCCTCAAAAAAAAAAAAGTAAATCGCTGGAATTTATGCATTAATTATGAATTGAAAAATCCAAGTTCGTGGGTATTCATGAGACCTTGAGGATCCATTTAACCGGTAAGTATTCATTATACTGACAGTGACAAAACGTTCTTATCAGTTTTTAAAGCCGAAAATTTAAAAAGAAATCAAATCTAAAAGGTTATAATTAAATATTAATCAATTTATGTTTAGTGGCCTAATTGAGCATATTAATTATTTCAATTAATTATTCTTTTTATGTAAGCTCTCGGTTGAGATTAAAAAGCCAGTCACACGAGATTTGAGGTTTTCATCTCAACCACGAGAATAATCAATTAATTTAATTTTTTTCCCAATTAATTAAGACTTTGGTTGAGATAAAAAAGTCAGTGTCACAAGCAGGATTCGAACCCACGACCTTTTTATCTCAACCAAAACCTTAATTAATTGAAAAGAATTTATTTGGTCAAGCGGACCACGAAACCTAATAAAATTAATTAAAGATGTTAAATGGAAAATTGTTTCAAAATCGAGGCGTCGAATCGTCGGTCGTCTGGCCATGAGCGGCACTTCATAAAGCTCGGAATAATTCATAAAGAAAGGATATTGACGTACTTGGAATTTTGAGTATTGTAATGTGTGTTAATAGATTCGCATGCTAAGATAATAAAAACAAAAACACAAATAATATCTTGAAAACCGTCAAAACAAGTCATAAAATCTCTATGAAATTGACATCGTCGTAAAATGTCAATGTTATTTCTATTTATGTACGTGCTAAATGGATCCTTATCCGAATAATGCTAGGACATGCGAGTTTTGACAGACGGACACTTACTTTTGGGCCACCTGTTGAAGAAATATACAGAGAAAAATATAGATGCCACCCGATATGAGGAGTGGATCCCCTGTTCCGATTTGTGGAGAAAACTAGGCTGTTTTATTGCATACAGTACTGATACTTTTACCCTAGCTTGTGTTGAAAGTGAATGTATTTATTAGCGTGAATGCATCACCCTGAGCGAATTATACGTAAATAGGAAAGAATGTATTTAAGAATGAGTGATGGTGTGAATGGGTTTGGATGTAGGAACTGCATGCGGTGGGTGGAATTGGCCCAATTGTTGACCTCTGATCCCAACTTCGGAAGCTGGACGGATAAGGCCGAGGACACACACCCGGGATTGGTGATTCTCCAGGCCTGCAGGTAGTTTATTGTAAATCATAAAAACTGGGATTGCCGGGGAACCCCTCGAAGTGAGAGGCTCAACTCTGCATTTGTGTGTATTATGTACATACAAATTTTTGAGCTTATATAAATCCAAATCCAAAAAATCTATGTGCAGAATGGATTTACAATTTGATAATTGGATCTTTATTTGAAAACATGCTTTTCGATTTGAAAAACAAATTTGCATTTGTATTAAATATTTCAAAGTGAAGACTTCTCTTCAGCAGAGTACAGCGCGAGAAATGTTAATTGCATATTTAACCCCTTTGACTTTGGCCTCGTCCATTATTTCATTCCTTGAAATCCGGATATTTTGAATGGTTAACAAGAATGATCTCAGATCGAGAGGGAGAGAGAGAGAGAGAGAGAGAGAGAGAGAGAGAGAGAGAGAGAGAGAGTGAGAGAACAGATCTCACCGATTATAACTCTGTGCTTTCCATGGGCGAAGAGCAGCATGAAAAGTTATGCAACTAGTCTCCCAGGGGGATTTTAAACTGTCACCCCGTCAACTCTGACATTCCGCTCAGCGGGGCCAATTGTAAAAATTAATCGCGTCTATCAACTTTTCTAAACCTTAATCTACGCTGAGTAATTTTTTTTTTAAATTAAAATCTTGAAATTAAATTTTTACTTTTATATAGCAAAGAAAAGTCAAAAGTCCGTCTAAAATCTAAAAGATCTACTGGAGGGGCAAATGCAACCGATAAGAAGGGTGTAAAAAGTTCCTGATTTTACATATTTCACCCACATTAATATTTCTTCGATTTCAAAGTAGTCTTACAAGATTCAAGGTATTTTAAACATAATTTTTAAAAAATGTACATTTTTACATATTTCACTCTTTGACACATATTTTACTACATAACCGTACGTCTGTATTTTTTTTTTTTTTTTTAAATATGACGATGGCCCAGTCCGTTTCTTATTTGCCACGGTAGTTGTTCTCTCTCTCTCTCTCTCTCTCTCTCTCTCTCTCTCTCTCTCTCTCTCTCTCTCTCTCTTTCTCTTTCTCTCTAACTATCAATCTATTTGTATCTCTCTCTTTTTCTCTTTGACGATCAACCTAAACTGCTCAAAATTTTATTTTATTTCTATTACAAATTTCGTTAAAATTTATTAGAAATTATTATGTTTTTTAATAAAGGAAAATGTAATTAAGGGATTTTGAAAAATAACAAAATAAAAGGTGTTAATTCCACATTTGTTTATTGGACACAGTAATTTTTTTAAACAATTAATACCGTATAATGTCCTCTGTTAGCTAAAACCTCTGTGCACCTGTTAAGCGCAACTGTTACCCAAGTCCATTATATTTCGTGGTCCGATTGACCAAATAACTTTTTTCAATTAATTAATCTTTATGTAAGGTATTGGTTGAAATTAAAAAGCTAGTGAAACGAGCGGGATTCGAACCACGACCTTCGGCTCAATACGCCGCTGCTCTAAACACTTGAGCTGTTAGCTAGTCACGATAGCTTAAATGGTTAGAGCAGCGGAATATTGAGCAGAAGGTCGTGGGTTCGAATCCCGCTCGTGAATTAGCTTTTTCATTTCAACCAATACCTTACATAGAGATTAATTAATTGAAAAACTTTTAATAAGGTTGTCACTAATTTCATAAGGAATTTCACTCCATAGATGTTGCAACGCTGCACTCAGTTGTTCCAGGTCAACTGGCTGCGGATTGTGATCGAAAATATTTCTCTACAATACATCCCACATGTGCTCAATGGGATTGAGATCTGGGGACAAAATTCCAAGGTTTTCTAAAAATTGATGAACAATTCTGCCTCTCTGAAGTCTGGGATTGTCATCCAGAAATCGAAAATCCCTGCCAATGGGGTCCCTGGTTTGAGGGTGTATTTCTCGATAATTTCTTGGACATAATGGACTGCGGTGAGGTTGCCTTCAACAATTTGGAGTCCAGTTCGTCCTCCAGTGTAAACCCCAGTCAAGACCATTCCACCGCCTCCAAACAGCACTGAAGGGAGCAGGATATTGTATGCATCCCCGGTACTCGGGATGTTCGACTCATCAGTAATCATAACAGCATAACAATTGGTGTATTCTTCTAGGCGCTCGCTGCACCATATTTTCCCCGAGTTGCTGGTGGCGGGCTGTTGCTCGTCGTCTCAAAGAAGCATATGATGTGTGGCAAATTTCCCACAAACTATTACGAATTGCCTTGCCAAAACATCTTGTACTTCATTTAGGACCTGTCGGGCACTATGGAAACGGGACCCGTTTTGCAGCAATGACTATATTTCTGTCCTCCATTAGCGTCGTAATGCCCTGAGATCCACTACCAGGCCTCCTTCTCGCACTTCCAGTCTCTTGGAATCGGGCTAAAGCCAGGGAGACCACGCTCTGAGAAACGCCAACTGCCTCTGCGATATCCACTTCCCGGTGACCTCTATGACTCGTTCTTACAATAATATTGTGAACTTCTTGTTTAAGACGATGTCTTTCCTTGGTTAAAGAGAGTACCACTGGATTAAAATGGAGAAAACACGAGAAAAGGTGTTTGTTTACAAAACGAGTAATATTCATTTACTATTCTTAAGTAAAACCCTTATTAAAAATGAGGATTAACATTTGTTTGTTTTTGGTTTGTATTTCTTATTTTATTTTATCCAAATACCAAGAATATATTGATTAATTTAATTAACATTAATAGAATAAGAATAAATTACAAATATCCCTAGTCATTTTTGAACAATTTGTTTTGACATATTTTTATGTTTACTTATTTTTACAAAAATACCCACAGCCTGCAAGTTTAATTTCGATTTAATTTAATCGCAAAATAATTTTTAAGTTTTATCATTTTATTTATAATTATTTGCGTACCCACTGGCTGAGGGATGTTTTGGCCATGCCGTAATATACTTTTCGTTTATCATAACTGACATTTATTCATGAGAAATAAAATATTCATTCATTTATTTTATTTATAATTTTTGAAAACCACTGCACAGAAGACACAGATAAGTATGATAGATAACTGATTTATAAAAGCTCAAAAATGCAGTACATACACACACCCGTGTACCCATAGAGCTGAGCCTATCACTTCTCGCATTCTACCGGCAATTCCAGCTATTTTATGATAAATTACCGGTAGATTTCAAGAATCATCCGCCTCGGGTGTTGCCAGTCCGGAGGTCAGACCTCGGTCTTATCCGTCCATCCGTACAGCCTCCGACCCAATTAGTTCTAAAACCCAATACATCCACTCTCTCACTCTTAAATACATTCTTTCTTACTTACATACCATTCACTTAGTTAGGTTGGTGGGGTAATCGATCTTTGCATCTATTTTATAACTTACCTAATTAAGGGACGATGAGATGCTCATGCCGCCATTGGCCCTTTCAAACTACACATTCACGCAAATAAATACATTCACTCTCAACTCACGCTCAAACACAAAACTATTGATACTATGAATTCCAGTCGTGTCAGAAGAGGCTACTCAACTTTTAACATTTTTTATTTTATTTTTATTTTAATGAATATTATTAAATTAAAATGTCTTTCGGAGTAATGATGATCTTTTATTAAGAACTTAGGAATTCTTAGATTTAGAAAAAGATTTAACTAAGTCTTTAGTTAAGAATTAATCATGTATTTTTTTTTTTTTTTTTTAGAAAAATTGCACTTATTTAAGAAAGTTCTGTTCTTAGCTCTTTGGGTCATGAAGGCCCTTGGCTTACCTGACAATAAATTGCCACTCTGCTTGGCCATATTGGCTACATTTTTCCACCCCTCACTCGACCCATCCAAGCATAGGTCTTCCACTAGAATGTCCCTTCATTGCTTTTTTTGAAAAACTTTTCCTGGTTACATGACCCAGCCTTTGTAACCTTCCGGACATTTTTTTTAATTTTTAAATAAAGCACCCATACTTAGGTGTAAAGCACTACGGGCCTCAGTACTGATATGTAACCCTGATCGCAATCAATCTTGCATCAATCCACTTTAATTGTTAATTCTTACATTCTAACATTTTAAATCATCACCGCTCATTCCAATTATATCTTAATGATTTATTGAGTTCTTACAAATTTACGAGCAAGTAGTTTTGTATCTTTTTCTTTTTAAATTACACTTCAGTATGGTCTACAAAATAAAATGTTCTTTTACAATTTATATTTTGAAATTTCATTCAAACAGAACATAAAGCGTCACAACGGAGAATTGATTTGACTTGAGGCTTTTATTCATTTTCAGGACAAAAGGAAGTACAAGTTTATTTTCAGGCAGTCCATACTCAATGACCACCAATGGTCATTTGCTTATTCTGCCTAAATTCATTTTCTTTTTCTTTCCAAGAGTTTGGAAGCTGCATTACAACTTCAAATTAAAATCTGGAAAAACAAATACAATTAAATTATCTACTACTACTCATATATGAGAAATGAATAAAATAGTACAAAAAAAAAAGTTAAACATAATCACTTTGGAAAAATAAATAATTTATGGATAAACTTTATAAACCATATGAACCATCTGATGATAGGGACTTAGCAGAAAGTATTTTCCTTGTTAAGTGCAATCAGTTTCAAATAGCTCCATCCACCCTGTTTCATAGTGTAAGGACTGAACGGTTTCACCTGTGGCCATAGATCAAATAGGTTCTTCTTTTTTTTTAAATGTACATTCCAATTGTATTTTCTGACTATACCAATTCTCCATGCTCCATTTAAGCATGTCTTGTAACACATTTTGTCCATCATTCCGGCCAAAATGACAGACACTGTTGTCACCCTCTTTAATATGTTTCTCTTCTTTAAAATTTAAAATTATGTACTAAAAATTAACTAATATTGTTCTACAGTTCTAAATTTTATCAAAAAACTAATTTTAAAATATTTCATCTAGTTGCCGTGGAGATATTAAAATTTGAAATATATGCCATTAGATTTACACAATTTATTCTAGGTTAGATTTGGTTTTATTTTTTTTTCTTAAACATTTGTAAGTATGTCAGGGGTCAACGCCTAAACCATTGTGGCCACCGACACCCCGGTATATTCATTACATTTATGTATGTAATATATTGCTTCTAAAATTTTAACTTTCAGAAATATTGAAAACAAATATATTCTTAAAATCAATTCTGATTTGATCGGCTCCGATCATCCTGCCTATTCTTGTTTTGTCTGTCAGGCATATTTCATCATGTTCAGTATTTCATCTGTGCATTTCCCATAATTTATGCCCTTTTCAAAGGTTCTAATGGTTGGCACAAATTTCACGTATGGTCAAGCAACATTTTCGGTTTTTGGCAATTAGTAAGTTAAGTGTTTCAGACATGCAGGAGGATTTAATGTCCCATTGGGTGTCGCAGACAAGGGTCAAACCACAAAGCCATGGGCTATGATGGGATCCAAACCCAGAACCATTAGTGTACCAAATACGACTCAGAAGCCCTAACAACTCGGCTACATTTTGGCAAGTTCATTCTAACAGTAACAATTTGCCAAAATAATTTATAATTTTGATTTGATCCATTATAGAATAATTAGTAAGTAGTAATAATTACCAAAATTGATAGAACTTTTATCAGAACAATGAAAAAAAACGTAAGTTTTTATGTGTTGTTTCAACACTTCACTATTATCAATAATGAACCCTGATATTAGCTTACCTCCTCGATAAGTTAATTTTTTTCTTTACCTTTATTTTTCAGTATAAAATAATAACTTATCAATAGTAAACAAAAATCACTTTTTTCCTGAACTGAAATTTATTCATATTTATTTGTTTTTAATGTTTAACTTGTTTTTTAGTAATTTATTTTACTTTTTATAATCTTATTATTTAATTGCGACATGCTAGTTGTGATAGAAATTCAATTATTGTTCTTGTCGGCCTTCCAGACATCCCGGGTCGAAGATAGGGCGGGCTTTGGAGGTCCGCTTTCACGATACCATATGTGTCAATGTGCACCCAGTCTGTCAAATTGGGAACAAATTCCTTGAGGAAAGCCGCTGCATTGCAAGCACCGCCGTGATCAGGGGTCCCAACATTCTGGACATCCGACTTTTCCGTGTTGGTGACATCTTCGGTAAAATACTCCCAGAGAGGTAGACGCCAAACCCGGTCCCCTGTATGAATTGATGCTATCCTTAACAGATCGTAAAGTTGGTCCGAGTTGGTGAAAACTCCTGCTGCAGACGCTCCCATAAGCTTCTTAACTTCAGTCGTCAAAGTTCCAATATCAACAACAAATTTAGGATTGTATACTGCACAGTAACTCAATGCATCCGCTAATATAAGCCGGCCTTCATTTGCTGTTGTCTGAACCAATATGGTTTTGCCTAAAATAAAATATAACAGGATGCAATAAAAATATATTTATACAAATATATATTTTATCTCTTACCATTTTGAGCTCTTATTATGTCACCAGGTTTATATGCAGAAGCACCAGGCATGTTTTCGCATAATGGGATCAAACCTCTAACATTAATTGGAAGCTGTAGCGTTGAAATTGCTCTCAAAGCTGCCACTACACTTGCTGCTCCTGCCATGTCGCCTCTCAAATCCCTCAAATCGAAGCAACGATGAAGGCAAACACCTAGAATTCAATTACACACATTTCATTATTGCTTGTTTCTATTCAATTTTTTTTTTAAGTTAATATTAAATTAAACTACCTCCAGCATCAAATGTAACTCCTTTTCCTATTAGCACAACAGGAGATACATCAGGATCGCACCCTTCATAATATGCTTCTAGAAAAATTGGTGGCTGACAAGATCCACTTCCAACAGACAAGAACGCATTGAACCCACGTAACTTAGCCCAGTTTTGAACTTTGACTTCAACATTTACACCTGCTTTAGTCAAAACTTCCACAGAGCTCTGGGCAAAGACTGACGGCGTCAATAAATTTGCTGGTGTTTCTGAGAATTGCCTAGCGAGGTTTTGAGCATTTGCTTTCTGTTGGCCTAGAACAAAAATCAATACAATTATTAAAACAATTTAGTAGTGTGGACTGTTAGGGAATAAAAATTACCTATTTGCCAGCCTATCCAGTCCTCGGAATCAAATAAAATCAACTTTGGTACCACAAGCTGCTTTTTTTCGGCCCTGTGCTCTTGGTAGACCCAAAGACCCATAGTGGCACCTTCTGCTGCCGATTCGGCATGTCCAAAACTCTCGACCATGATACGGTAGATCTGCAAGTCCTGGAGAGCTCTCGCGCCTACAGCCGCCGCTACCCTAATCACTTCCTTTTGCTCGTCAATTTCTTCCACTGGATTGTAGCCAATGCAGTCTGTCCCAAGCCCCACAACAGCCACTGCGTTAAACCTGTCATCAACTCCATAGAAGAGACGCACCTGTTGAACAATTAAAAACATTTTTTTTTTCATAAAAAAGATTGTACTTTCTTCGAATTATACGGTAAACTTCCTTACTTGGCCCAGTTTTGGAAGGGGAAGCGTTCTCAGCAATTGATCCTTTACGAACCCTTTAACGCTATCGTTGAACTTTTTCCCTGCTGGAGTGAAGTCCGCAGTCTGCCCTTTCAAATCGCCCTCTTCGCTGTACACCCCGATTATCAACCCAGTTGGCACAGAAGTCGTGTTTGAACAGTTCACTCTTACATCGTAGTTTTCGCCTGACTGCTGCGTTAGATTTCTTTTTGAGTCTAAAAATTAAAAGTTTTTCAAAAAAGCAATAATATTTTTAAAATCTATAGCTTTATATAAAATACAGACAATATATCATATACCATATATATAAAAATTAAGGTTTAATAAAACAAATATTAAATTAATTTTCATTAAACTTCAGCTAGTGAAGCATCTGTTATGGTTTTAAGTATTTTAGTTACAAATTTCTTTACATTTAGTAATGAAAAAAGTATTTACAGAAAGTTATATAAAAAAAAAGTGAAGTTAAGTCATCTAATGAAGGGTTTATGGTCAACTACCTATTTTAAATTTTTGTTCTGTTGCTGTACTGCAGGGTGTTCATGCTGAAAGATGATTAGTGTACTTACTTCTGCATTTTATAATATATTTTTAAATTTTTATGCCTTCTACTATCTAAAGAAACTTTCAATGGTAATATCAGGAATCATCTAGCCGACACTCCCACTACATGATAAATATGATAATCGGTTATCCTAATGAACCTAATACAATTCTCTAGTCATTGAAATTTTTTTTTAAGTTATTTTACAAATTAATTCTCATATAAGCATAATTTGGTTGTATATAAGTAGTTCTAGTTTAGTTAGTTTCAGTTAGAATTTAAATTCGACAATCTTAAAGTAAAATTTCTTGTGTGATTTATGCACTCACCTTGATAACCGAACCAAGCAAGATTTAGATTTCCTTTGTTAGACAGCGTACTTCGGATATTCTTAATAGTATTCATCTTTAAATTAATTTTATTCGTAACCTATTATCCTCAGCTACAATCTAAATAAATTCTAACTATAAAGTTTACTACTCTACTTTTTCTTTTCTAAATTGTCAGTTGCCAAGCAACAACATTTGAAATTGTTGTTATTGTGGATTCATTTATTTTCTAATTTTAATTATTTTTGTATTAATTAATTAATTAAATATTAGTAGATATTTTAAAATTTTAACTGTCACATTGGATTTTATTCATACAAAGGAGTAGGAAGGCAAAATGAAAACGACTTTCATATTATTTCACACTCATATTTTTATAGATTATCCAAGCATAAATACATTTATTTATTTTTAACATATTTAAACTTCAATTGCAAACTTAAAAACTTAGAAATTTCCTGCAATTTTCCGGCACTGTAAATAATTTAAAATGATTAAAAATGGCAAAATATTTTGTTAAAAATTATCAGGATGTATTTACCTTATCAAACTGAACTTGGGCTCTTGCTAATAGAGATATTTTCTGAGCCCTTTGAACAACATCTTGGCACGGTTTACGCCTCAAAAATCGGCAGTCTTGGAAATAGCCCTCCATTCTTGGGAAGCCGTGAGTGCCATCAGAAAAAGTCACAAGTCCTGCAATTTATAACGGAACATCTCAATTTCCATTTTAAATCCTTAAAATAAAAATTACGTAATTACCCAGCCCCCAAATCCTTCCACCTCTGAATTCTCCTTCATACTTTGTGCCATCGTTCCTCCAAAAGACACCATGTCCGTGAAACCAACCTTGCATCAACTCACCTTCGTATCTGTTGATATTTTTTTTTTTAATAAAAGCAGTTCCTGAGCAGTAAACATTCAACATACTTTGCCCCATCAGGAAAATTCATTACACCAAGCCCGGAACACACATTTGCCAAAAATGTCCCGTGGTACCTAGTGTAGTTAGGAAGAAGTAGTATCCCCAAACCGTGCATCTGTCCTTTTGAATTCCAGTCTCCGATGTATTTAGTGCCATCTTCAAACACATACCCTCCAGTCTTGACAACCCCAGGGTAAGTATTGTCTTCTACAAAAATATATTTATAAAATTGTGAAGGCATACTAAATTTAAAATAGAACAGATTTAGATATTTATTGATCCAAATTTATTGTTTGCCAAAATACGTACAACATACATTCATTTACAATCACTTTGACCTGCATATTCTTACTATTTTGGTCTGTCAGATGTCTCAGCCTTTCAACATCGGTGGGTTAGTCAAACCCAAAAATCTGGATGAAATAGTTCTTAAGTATTCCTTCGCTTTTCTGATGTATGATTATTTTAGTCAGCCAATAGGCGCTTTTAAAAAGAAAATAATGCATACCCACCAATGATGATGAAAGGCCAAAATGCTCCGGCGGTTAAGAAATTACTGTTACGAGTTTAACATCCTGATTAATTTTGTTCTTATTTAAGTTATTTACCTGCTAACATTTTCGTTTACTCTCGAATCTCACTGGTGAAAAATGACGTAGGGTTTCAAAAATCAATACACACCTAGATTTAATCCATTTAATTTCTAAATTTGTTATAATTTACATTCCCTTCTTGCTTAAACAAAAAATCAACCGTATTTTTCAAAACAAAAATTAGTACAATAACATTTTACAGGTACTTACACATTTTACCAAATGATGCCTTTCTATATAAATAAATAAATAATGCATATGCCGGATAATTTTTATTCTTCATAAAATAAATAGATTCCTTGTTTACACAATAGCCTATACTAACAATAATTAGTACTAATTTGACTTGCATTCAAGTTGTAAGTAGTGAAGGGTTGAACATTTTTTCATAATTCGAAATAGGTTTTTTTTTTTTTGGCAGCGATGAAAATACAAGTACATTTTTATAACTAACACCAGACACAAATTAAAAAAAAAATTCAACCACAAAAAAACTTCAACCTTCAAAACAAACTTCTGCCAATTTATCACAGTTTGTACTAAACATTCTCCATCACTCTTTTTCATTTTTTTCCATTTTGTCAAAATTATTCTTCAAAAATATCTCCTGCTTCATTTCTGAGAAAAAAATGTTGACTACCACTGAACATTGCTCATCATAACTGGGGTCCCTTGTACAATTGTTTATATTTTTATAAAGCAATAATAAATTTTGGGGCTAAACAGTGCATTTATTCTTTAAAAAAAAAAAGATGTAACTTAAAACTTTAAAATAGAAAGTAATCATAAACGAAAAAGTAAGGTGTCTTAATTCATGATATAATAATCTTGTTTAAAAAAAATTGCAATGGCAAAGTTTAAATGCTTAAATGTGTTTTTGGTAATAAAAATAAGAAATTCTGGCAGGATTGATCGAAAATGTTCCTAAACTTTATGTTTTACTTATAAAGTTATATATTTTCTTTGTGATGGTGAAATTTTATCTCAACATTAGTATTATTATATAGTTATAATTAAGTGATGTCCTGAGATTATCCGTTTTTCCAACAGTTTACAATAACAATTAGCAAGATGATACAAGATTAATTTTTTGTTAATAACATTAGACACAAAAGTTAAGATTTTAATTATGTACTCAAAAAAGACCCCAATAAATTTTAAATTAAACATAACATACCCAGTGGCACATTTAGGCATTTGTAAGTATAAAAAAATGTCAAAATACTTTCCTCGTATAAAAACCTAAATAGAAAAACTAATTTGTATTTTCAAAAATATATCAGCCACAATTTGGCCTTACAGTATATGTATTTTCTAGTGCGAGAATTTATTCTCCGTCCAATTATGTCACACAGTACATGGTTTGTGAAAATAAATAGAAAAAAAAAAAACAATAACATTTAATTTCTTTGGACAGCTATCAAATCGTTCGATCAACAATAGCTCATAACATTTTTTTAATCATTCTACAAAAATAATTTTCAAAATATCAACTTCTAACACAATCCTGCAATAAAAGGGATTTGTAAACAGTAATTTAATTATACATTTTACCTTCAAAACAAAATATTTTCAAATGAAATATAAAAATTACGAGAATAAAAGTGTTAAAAACTATTTTATGTATAAAAATTGTTCTTAGCACAGGCTTGACAAAATGCATCACTTGCTGTTTCTTAAAAAAATTCTTTTTTTTTAAATAATAAATTTAATAAAAAAATTAATTTAAAAAAATAAAATAATTTTTTTTTTTTGTCGTTGTATTGTCCTTCTTTTCAACTCTTTTTGTATATATTCGATTCAAATTGTGCCAGTCCTAACGTTCCCAAGAAATCTTACAATACTTATATCGTTTAGGGGGACATGAAAAAGGTGGGACAATACACGGACCTCAGGCACCTGATATTTGTAATATAAAACAACAGAAATTACAATGAAATACCATATGTAAATTACTCCACTTTTAATCGTTTACTAAACTCCTCTTGCTGCTTTTCCTTCCACTCCTTCTTCGCTCTCATCCTCTTCAACTGACCATCCCTGATAACGGATAAAAAATTTAAAAAGTTCCGATTATGACATTTTAAAACAATAATCTAAACTCACCACATGAGATCGACTAAGCCACCCTGTTTAGAAATCACCCCCTTAACACGATTTGCAAAATCGATCGCACTTTCTCCCGGCGCTTGGTACATCGGTGGCAAGTACCAAACATCGCAGACTATCGCCCATGACGTCATCATCATATAGAGATATTGTAACATTGAATACCTAGAGCTGTTCCAGAATGCGTCTCCAAATTTGGGATCATACTAAAATTTTAGGAAAATGAAAAACAAATTCTAGAATCATACAACTTAAAATTTATCAAATTACCTTAATTGCAACCGGATATATTACACAGCCGACTTCAAAACTTCCTTTTTTAAATTGCATAACAGAAGTATTATTTATACAAGTACCTTCAGGAAAAATGAGTATTGGTGGATTGTTTTCTTCAGACACGTGCTGCTTAAGTCTAAAACAAAATTGTGAGAAAATGATTATTATAATGTAAAACCAGTCATATAATGAGTACACTTAATTGCAAGAGACCTCCAAATGGTTAGGGCTCCAACTTATATTTGTCAAGCTAGCGGTTCAGGGTTCGAATCCTGGCAGAGCCAATGTCTTTTTAATTTTGATAATAGTATAAAAAATCAATTTTAATGTAATTTGACCCCTCATACGTGACACCAAATGGTCTGTATGAGTATGTAATCTGCATTATCTGCATCCTCCCGTTTATTCTTTTTAAACTCTTAAATTTGTTTTTCTATGCATGTGTTTTGTTTTTTTAATTATTTACCCATTTTGTATAATTACATAAAAAAAGGAAAAAAATTGTAAAAAGGAGAAACAACTTTTATTCAACCACATCCAAATTGAACATACATTCTGCGGGTTGCCCCTACTTCATTGCGGGAATACACCTGTTGCGCCATATAATTTACATCACTTAAATAAACAATAAAAAAATGTACATTAGTTGTAAGTACCAGAAAGCTATTTTATGTGATAAATTGGTTTCCGCCATTAACATAGGACACGATCAACGTGTTAGTTAATGAGTATGCTTAATTGGAAATCTCTAGATTTTCCATAATTTGTTGTTGTAATTAAAGTTGTTTGATGAATTAATCATTTAGTTAATTTTAATTTAAAATAAATGGTTGATTAGTTCTTCAAGCTTCCCTCTACAAGTTGAATGAAATTGCACTCAACCAAGAAAAAGGACACAAGTTAATAAATTTACGTACAATATCTCTAAAAGTTCACACTCTTCTCAATTGCAATCATGATTTTCTTTACAAAACCAAAATGTGATTAAATCCAAATTGTAAAAACACTAAGAATGAGGATTAATTGAAAAATGGCAAAAGGGAGGGAAAATTCAAAAGGTGCGGTTGAGATAGGAAGTTAATGTCCGAGCGGATCGAGGTCACGATAGCTCAAGTGGTAGAGCAGAGGTGTATCTAGCCGGAGATCGTGGGTTCAAATCCCGCTCGTGCCACTGACTTTTTTATCTCGACTAAAAACCTTAATTAATTGGTAACAACAAGAATAAACATGTGCCAAGTGAGTAAAGAAAACAAGAGGAAAAAATATGTCAGCACCTCCAAGATTTAAATAGTTTTACAGATTTAAAAAAAAAAATTCAAATTGACAGTATCGGCTTTCATGATTATTTTTAACAATCTGAAGTAATAAATTTCTAAGAGTGCAGATTTAAAGTCAACACATATACTGTATAACATTCAGATTTTCCTGGATTAAATTTGGCAATCATTTTCACAAAAAGCGTTTGAAATAAAGAAATTGCCAGAGAGGAAATAAAACAAACTGCAGTGAAACCTGTCTTTATGGACAATTTTTGCATTCCCTGGCAAATAAGATGAGATTTTTATTCCTTTTAAACTCCACTATAATAGAACCCCTCCTGCCAGTCATGGAATATTTCACCCCTCCAGAACAGATTTAAACAATGACCATATGAAAAAATACTTGTTTCGATCATTTTAATGATTTTTTTTCTTTTAGGGCAAAAAATTTTCAGGCTTGTTATGATGCATAATCCCGCCTCCCAGAGGGTATTTCAACTAAAATGTTTTATGAACACTCAGGATACAGGTGTTTTTGAAAAAAAGTTCATTTGTAAGCACATCGAATTCGAACCCGGAACACTTTTACCTAACAGTGATGAGTAATACTTCATTGAGAAATAATAAATGTTGTATTTAAATTTTGTATTGTACATGTATGTTCAGCTGTTAGGAAATGGTACATGTTTTTCCATATTTTTCTGGAAGCTACTTCTTCCATGTCTTTATACGTTGTTTCTTCTTTGAAAGCTTTTCTTTCACAGAGGACTTGGCAACTCTAATCGGTGGAAATTAGGATTCCCATCCTACTTTATCATTCAAATTTCGACACAATTACAATTAATTAAGGTTTTTAGTTGAGATAAAAAAGTCAATGGCACGAGCGGGATTCGAACCCACGATCTTCGGCTTGATACGCTGCTGCTCTACCACTTGAGCTATCGTGACCTCGATCCACTCGGACACCAACTTCCCATCTCAACCCCATCTTTTGAATTTTCCCTCCTTTCGCAAGTGGTAGAGCAGCAGCGTATCAAGCCGAAGATCGTGGGTTCGAATCCCGCTCGTGCCATTGACTTTTTTATCTCAACTAAAAACCTTAATTAATTGTAATATATTAATTGGTCAAGCGGACCACGAAATTAGTGAATTCAACACAATCTTTAGTACTTGACTACAGGCCTGTATCGATACCCTGTGCTGAAGTGGTTTAATGGATTAAGTAACAATGGTCATATTGATTCTTTGTTAATTTTTTTTCCTCTTCAAATTTACTAATATAATAAAAAAATAATTCCTTACATGGTCAAAAATTGATTAATTATAGTCTTAAAAAAATAATGTCTGTGAATGAAAATTAGCCTCTTCAAAAACTAATGCGGAAATATCTGCTCGAGTCAGCCTAGTGACCTGCCTGTTAAGCCCCTTTTGCGAGTTAAACAATCAGTCTAATTAATCTTACATTTTATATCTTACAAAACTAAAGTTTTTATTTAAAACGTAAAGCCATACCGTAAAGCAACTGTTGCCCTGTCCTTAACTTCTAATCTTTCAAACCAGATATGGGGTGAAGCTCTAGCCAGAGCTCGTTGTAATATACCAAGGAAACCACCGTGTCTTTGGCCAATCTGGAAGAGAGAAAAAATACAATTAGAATAACAACCGACGATTCAACGAATAAATAAGTCTTTCTTACTAAAGAATAGGAGTTGTCACACATGAGTATCAGCACATCAATCGGTGATGTGTGGTTGGCAACACAAATGCCTCTCTTTGGTCTGTTTTCTGGATTATGATATGTTATGACTGAGGATAATGCAGAAGAAAGAACATTGAAACACATCATTGAAACTTTGCGGGTCAGCCATCTTTTAAAATCTCCCTTACGAACATAACCAACAATAGCTGTACAAAGAGTTAACCAAAGTACCTACAAATCAAAATAATTAGATGATACATTCAGGCATATAAAATTATTTTTAAAAAAATAAATAAACACTAACGCCAAAGAAGCATATTAAAACTCTAATGGGAAGAAGGAAAAAATATCTAATGAAAAATCCGGACACCCATATGAAAGAGAGTTTCCAGCTTATAAATTCGTATTGTCGATTGGTTCGTGTGAGTAAATTCCATGACTGAAAAATAAAAATTATGAAATACAGATACACATAAAAAAATTATAATAAACGTACCTTTAATTCCTCAGCTTCAAATCTGGAGGTTACCTGATCTTCAATAATTGCTTCTACACCAGCTTTTACTAAATCAAAACAGTCAGACAGCTGAAACTCCCTACGGAGGGTTTCAAATGAAGGCCTTCTTGGAATACCTTTGTCTTCCTATAACAAGACAATTCATTTTTAATAGTTATTCATGGCAATAAATTTAAAAAGAAAAATAATAAAAATTAGTTTTAAAACCCGACCAAAACTATGAGAATAGGCAGAAGGCGATCTCATACTGGAACTGTCTACATCTGACTGTAATTACAGACAACTTGTGCATCCGGCATAAGCTCTCAAATTAGAAAAGACTTGTTGGAGCCATTTGTCCATTAGTAGTGGTTATTTTTTGGTTTACATGCATTTGGTTTTTCCTTCTTCTAATTTTTAGCTTTCGATAGATATTTCAAAAGCAATTTCTTTAATAAAAAATTACTTGTTTTTTGTCCCACAGCTACTCAAAAAAAAAATCCTAACAATCATAAAGAGCCTCACATCATATGGGACCAGAAATCTGTGAAAAGTGCGAATTCGCTTGAAAACGGGCAGACGATCCGTACACATGTCCATGCCCTCAGCTACTGTGCCCGTCTCGTGCATCATAAGCGTAATGGGAAGCAAACGAATCCAAAATAGTTTGGATTTTTACTGCAAACTGGTCCTCCCAGCCCACCCAAGAAGGCATGAATTGTAAAAAATCCTAGTGCTGGAGAGGATATATTTATGGGAAAATAATTACTACAGAACGTGCAAACATTTTTTGTCTGTACTTTTTTCAAGAATAAATATATAATAAATAATATATATCGAGTTCTACAAGATTTGTAAAAAGTTTCAAAACAATGAAAATTCTATTCTTCTTAGTTTGTCTATCAAGGGCAAAAAAAAAACCCAGCTTGCAAAACAAAATATATAGTTGGTTCAAGTGTGAGAGAGTTTATTACCTACATTGGGTTTAAAAGGTTTATTTTATGAGGGTTTGCAACAGCAGAGGCCATATCAACCCTTGGGGTATAGGTGTTTTTGAAAAAACCCCAAATGTAAATACGTAGAGTGCAAATGGATTCCAACCCAGGACTTACACATTATAGTGATGAGCGCAGTGTCAACACCTAAACCATTGTGGTGCCAACGCCCCATCCCAAGTGTGATTGCCAAGCTACAAACAATATCATAGTAGCACAAAGGATAAAATAGTAAAGTTATAAACTATTTGCATAAAATTTGCATTACCTATAAAATTTATACCTGAGGAATTTAAACCAATGCATTTTGCAAAAACTTTTCTTTTTTTCTTCAAATTTATCATCAAATTAACTTAATGTAGGCTCACAAGTAAAGTTACAATTGTAAGACGAAGGATAGAAAATCGGAATGCAACATCAATTAGACTTGTGTATGGTCAATATAAAACAAAATATAAATAAATATATAGTATCATTTAGGAGGCAGTGCTCTTTGTGATAGTAATAATATAATATTATTGGCATTTGTACAAGACTACAAACTCTAAGATTGCCAATTTTAAAGATTTATAAATAAGTCTTTTTTTCTTCTTTTTTTTCCTTCCCCCCTCACTAATATTCAATCAATACGTAACTTCAAAATTAATATCACGCTAATCTTATCATAGGAGTGTCGTGTAATAAAAAATGATTATTTATAACATGTGATACTTCTGTTAATAAAGTCTGGTATTGTTTGTTAATAATTGGTTTTTTTTGTTTGTTTGTTAATAATTGTTTTTTTTTTGTTTGTTTGTTTTTTTACCTGCGATAATTCAAGATTGTTGTTTCCAACGTAATTCTGTTCAGGGTCAGGCACGAGAATTAAATCTTCCCTGGAAATAAGAGTCGTTCCATTTGGCTCTTTCGAATGTTTTTCATCGGACAATTTCCTTTTCTCCTCAGGTTCTATATTCCATTTTCCTTCTGCTTCTATAGTCTTTCGACCAAACTGCAATAAAATGGAAAATTTCTATTTAACATAATATTATATGCTATTAAACAAATATATACAACTACAATACATATAATTATTGGATTAAACATGATTAATAAATTAATCATAAGTGTAAAGGGCAAAAACGTGCACCAAGACCACGGGATAACGTTTATCTAATCAGACGACAAAAAAAAAAAAAATAGTGTCAAAAGTCATGTCTAGAAGCAAATATTGTAAAGCAAATTGCCCCTGGACATTTGCATAATAAATAATTATAATACCAAAACAGCACATTAACATTATCTAACAATAAGATAAGAATATCTAAAACCAGAATTTTGGCTGAAATATACCATTGTATGCCATCAGCTTGAACAAATTTTAAAACACGATACGTTAGATAAAAAGACATAAATCACGTGTATTTGCTGAATGTCAACACCAGAACCCATTGAAAATGTCCAGTGTAATTTTTTAATTAAATTAATTTTTTAATAAGAATTCAAATAGAAAGTAAAAAAGGCAAATAGAAACAATATTATTGATTTGAACTTCCTAACAGAATTGGAGATTCTCAATAAATTTTTTCTTGCAAAACAATCACCCATATCTTTCCTATAAAAATCCGCTGCTATAAATCAGGAAAACAATAGAATTTTTCTATCATCCTACAACTAAAAGAAAATCAAAATAATTAATGAAAAAATAATACTTTTTTTCTAGAATAAACATCTGTGTTTAAATAAGTGTTAAAAAAAAATAACTAAGTGAGTAAAAAGCAAAAATTAAATTAATCCAAAGTGTTTCTTTCATCCTATATTTCACATATTTAAATTTATAAGTATGAACTGTTCGTTCTATACAAAAAGAAAAGGACATGATAACAATTAGTCATGAAATTATATATGCATATAACACAATGTGTGCGTGTGTATGTGTGCACTGTCGGCAGGCCTTCCAACCGATGCTGACTTGTATTGTTAAATACTGTCCATTCCCAATTCTTAAATGTGCACAAGTTAGCAAACCATGTTATGTAATTTCAAAAGAAAACTTTCTCCTTTGAAATGTGTGCTACAATGGCATTTTCTCCTTGACTTCATTGTCGTATACTTCATGGCAAACCTCTGCTATGTACGGGTACAAAAAATAAGTTAAATAATCTAAGTGATTCCTCTGATAAAGCTACTAAACTAAAAAAACTACTAAAAACTACTAAACACATACAAAAAAAAAAGAAAAAAAAAGAGAGATTAACTATGGAAAGCAGTTGATCCCAGAGGCCAACAAAAATATTTATCAATAAAAATATAGTTTGATTAAAGAATGACTAATTTCTTTAATTCTATTGTTTAATTTAAACTTTTTGGACAAAAAAAGGAATTACAATGTAATAATTTGTACAATGTAATAAACATCACACAAGTTTTTTAAATAATTATTTAATATTCCTAATATTTTAGTAAGAGTTTAGACCTTTTTATCAATTCCTTTGTGTCCCCCCCCTAAACTCAACAAATTTTAAACTGGATTCTTTGAAGTACAATTTGAAAGATAATATATTAAAACAATCAAATTACAGCAGTTTGTTAATATTTACTTTAGTATAAACAAATGAATAATATAATATCAGAATTAGATTTTGATTTTAGCTTTAGTTTAAGTAAACTGACTAGTTGGCAATCTAATTTAAAAATTATGCAGTGTAAACTAAGAGAATCCTTTAAGTAAAAATGTATTTCAAGAACCCTGAATACTTGCTCCGGCAGGATTTATAAAGATTTGAATGTTAACTTAAAGGACGTAAATTACATAAATCCAATTAATTACTTAAGTTGGATAATCAAAGCGAGAGGTGAGATGCTAAATTGTAGTATGTTTAGGTATCCGTAGAGGTCCCTTTGTAATATGTCAGAGGCAGAATACACAGGGGTATTGGATTCAAACCCAGGATCTTTACTTTTAGTAATGAGCACCATGTCAACGCCTAAACCGTTGCGTCCATTAACGCCCCCATCTGCTTATTATTATATAATTTTCTTTATTATATTACATAATGTACATGTAATTTTACTATTAATCTTATAATTGTTACATTATTTATGTACATTATTTTCCTTTTTAACTCCCCTTGTATTTTTATATATATCTACCTGTATTTTTTCTACATCAAGTAAAAAAAGAGAAATAATTATAAAATTTATTTATTTATGGAAGAAAAAATGACCGATTTGTTTGATTGATCAATCACTAAATTTCTTTGTTAAAAAATTTGAAGGTTTATGTTTTATGTAAATTATAAGTATGTAACAAGATACAAGCCTGCTAATGGTCATGGAACAATTGTATAGAAAATCAATAAAGACATTTATCTATCTATCTACAGCAAACTTCAGGTAATTTCCAAACTGCCAGAATTTTTTACTTTAAAAGTAACCCAGCTTTCAAATTGATATCAACATTTTGAGAATTAAAATGATATTTAATGACAGTCTAACCTTCTCCATCCTCATTACATACAATATAATTTGATACCATTAATGACGAATTTCTTGAGTAATGGTATTTAAAGGACAATTTCAAAAAAAAAAATTGAATTTAATTTACTGAAATTTAAAGAAAAGCATTCAAGAGCAAAAATGTGCTTTCAAAATGAAAAACCAAATGAAAATTTGCAGCTAGTCAATATAATAAAGTCCGCGAAATCTGAAGAAGCTGCAACTCCATTAATGACATTCATCAAAAATTAGCATTTTCTTGTTTTTTAATGGTTTAATGGGAGATCAGGCACTAATGACAGTATCTTCTTTTTCCACAGTCATCCAACTCTAATCTCAAAATATTTTCAGATGCATGAAGCAAAATATAATTTTGCTATAATACAATATAATTTACATATTTTTTAAGCAATATTTTAAAACGTTCAAATTAGTATTTATTTTTTGCAACAGCCACTCAACAATAGATTAGAGGAATGTTCTTTACCCTTCGTTTAAATTTACATAACATTTCACTCCGTTTTTTCTACTAGAAATTTCTATGAAAAATATCTTCAATCTTAGAATATTGGGCACCAAGCAAGATGATAATTAAGCTCACACATTTAATTTTTCAGGCAACAACAGTCTAAACAATTCTGTTGTACATTATACACTATTTTACTTTTTTTTAACCTTACAAATTGACAATAAATTTGTGCAGTCCTTGTACTTCAAAAGCAAATAAGCACCTTCAGAATGAAGGTTAAGCAGGAAACAAATTTTTTTTCTCTCTTTCTTTGGGTTTGAATACACTTATCATCCTTTTCCAATTGTGTTTTACAATTTTTGTAATTATTTTTATTGTATATGCATTTCAAAGCTCATTTATACCTCCTCTTTAGTACATTACTTTTAACGGTCTGGACAAACAACTGTACAATTCATTCCTTTGCTTTTAATATAGATGTACATTTCAATTCCTTTTAAAATTATAACTCTTAACAATTTTTTTAATGAGATCGTTGGGGGCTACTACAATATTCACTTTTTATATTGTCATCAAATTTTAATCTTCAAAGTTTTTTGAAGCAGGAAGATAGATTAAAATTACTATTAACTATTATGTAAGGGTCAATTAATTCACAGCAGATTAGAGAGAAGTTAAAAAACATTCAGCAATTTTTTAATCGTCATTAAATTGATAATTTTTTTATGAGATTACAATGAAATTACCTATGATAACTGTGTCTGCAATTCAATGATGAATCAAATGATATATGGCAGCCAATTACAGAAGTTTAGTTAAAACTTTTACTTTCTATAATATTACAAATTTAAATGGAATTCTTCAACCATATTTGGAAAATGTACCTTGCAAATGGGCAATTAATGGTGAAAAATCCAATTTTAAAACCATGAAAGTCCATTTAATATTATGAAACTAGAACCACGAATTACTAACAACAGCCTTTGAAGAAAAATTACAATAAAAAACTGACAACATTTTGTTTTGTTGATAAAGTCAGGCAACAAGGACAGACTTTTCACATTGCCTTGAAATTGTAATTTTAACATATTTTCTGAAGTAGGGGGAGCTATATTTATGTCTTGACAAAACAATGTTTTAAAACAAGTAAAAACATAAAATAAGACACAGTATAACTGTGTTTAAATAAGAAAAGACGTTGGTCTGAGGTTGACTGCATTTTAAAACAATTATTAACCGTGTCAATGTTTGTTCTGTAGGTCAATCAATTTAGATCAGATTGTTAATAAGTTGTTGACATACGAAGCAAATGAGCAATTAAACAGAAATTCATACAAAGGATAGTACAAATAGTAACATGATTTGGGCAACATGCAGTAGTGCACAGAGATAAGCAAAACAAAGTAAGGAACTAATGTCCATTTAGAATTATGAAACAACTACATAAACATCTGTATTCTTATAAAATTACAACCAAAAAACTGACAACTTAGTTTTTTGTAATGAAGTCAGGCAGCAATGACATCCTTTTCCAATTGATATCAAATTGTATTCTCAACTCGTTGCCTGAAGCAAACTAGGGACCATGGTAGCCGAGTGGTCAATGCATCAAGATTCGCCAAGAGTCATTAGTTTGTTACCTACCATCACCCCTGGAATTTCATTATCCTTCTCTTCCCTCAAAAATAATGTTAAGTAATCCATGTATGTATCTGGATAATATGAATAAACATAAGGCAAAAATGGGGAACCCTGGTGGTTGACACATATTTGCCAGTACTATTCAACAAAAAACTATCCAACAAAAAAACTATTTGATAAAACAATTGAACAGAAAATCATCACTGAAAGATCCAGGGTTCAAAACTCAGTGGCTTGGGCTACTTAAAAAATAAAAGAAGAAAAAATACAACATTAATTACATCACCTCAAATAATTATTATTGATAACTTAATTATAATTAAAAGTTGCCTTTTTTAAATAATTTTTTATGAACCACTTGCATAGTTAAGTTTTGAAAAGTCTATCATGATACTTGAAGTAAAATGAAGTATATGAATTTAAAACTGAAAAAGTCAAATAAACATGCAGGCAATGATTGACGTTACATTTTAAAATCATCAGTCAATTTAAAATTATGGAACGATTACCTCAAAAACAAAAGCTTTCTTATAAACTTACAACCAAAAAATGCAACCATTTTTTTAACGATAAAATTCAGGCAGCAATGGCTATTTTCCCATTACCATCAAATAGCATTCTTAAAAAAAAAAATAATAAATAAAAAAGGTACCGGGTTTGAATTTCTGCGGCCTTCAACTCAAAGCCAAAATATTTGCACACAAAAAAAATTATTTACTACCCAGGGGTTGACATGATCCCTATACCTACACCTCGATTAATTTATTGGCAAATTAACTTTGATTTTTTACAATACTACAAAATGATATTATAGTCAATCACACAGTTCTTCAATAATACTTCACATAAATGAAACAAATGGCCTATTAAAAAGTGAAAAATCAAATGAACAGCATGGCGTGCCCCATAGCAGACATCAAACTACACCTATTGTACAAAAACAGCAGTTTCTTTTAAAATTAAAAGCAAAAAACAGGCAACTTATAGTTTTATTATATTAATCCATATTTGCTTAGTGGTCATAATTGACCTTATTAATTATTCCAATTAATTATTCTTTTTATCTAAGGTTTTTGGTTAGATCAAAAGTTGTCACGATAGTTCAAGTAGTTAGAGCAGCAGTGTATTGAGCCGAAGGTCAAGGGTTCGAATCCCGCTCGTGATACTAATATTTCATCCCAACCAAGGCCTTACATAAAAAGAATAATTAATTTAAATAATTAATATTAGCAATTAGACCACTAAACAAATGGATTAATATAATAAATAAAGACACTAAAAGTTCACCACGGTCACTTACTAAGTCGCTGAGAATCGAATCCTGATTACAGGACATTTATTAAATGTCAAAAAGAGGTAAAATGCGGTTTAGGTTGAGATGAGGAGTTGGTGTCCGAGTGGTTCAAAGACACGACAGCTCAAGTGGTTAGAGCAGCGGCGTATTGAGCCAAACATCGTTGGTTCGAATCGTGGCACTAATTTTTCATCTCAACCAAAATACTTAGATAAAAAGAATAACTAATTGTTATTGTTTTATGAGAAAGTAAGACAGCAATTACAGTATTCTCTTTGTCCATTGTCATCGCATTCTTAACTAGTTGCCTGAAGCAGGAAGTTAAATTACAATTTAATAAAACAATGTTTATCAAACTCAAGACTTTTGTTGTTGACATTTCAAATTTAAATCGCTTTGTTCTCCGTACTCAAAACCAATATCAATATGAGAGAAATAATGATATGTCATAACAAAGGACACCCAATATTGTAGCAGAACATGACAGATAAAGACGTTACCTTTGTCCCGCTCACGGTATAGATTTTTCTACGTCTTGAAAAAAAATTTGTTTAGAGTGATAGGGAAATAATAAAAGTCTACTTTTTCAATCGGATCACAGTGTTTCTGAAACCCACCGGATCGTCGTTTCCAACCATGAACATGCTTGAAAAGACCTTGGTTTTTTTTGGTGTGCGACGAGTTCAAGGATTTTCCTCGTTAAATTTTATTTTCGAAAGAAGTAAAAATGTTATTACGGTAATGTTAAAAAGAAGGGAGAGTTGAAAGGGCTCACCTCGAATATCTTAACGAGCAGCTTGACATAAGCTCGCCTCACGCCGAGAGACTTCCCGATGGAGGCGAGGATGACGATGATCGGTATAAAAAATAGAAACGGGGCGACGAGTAGAGTGAAAAAGGCAGTTATCGCCGGTAGAAGGTTTTGCACCATCGCAAGGTTCGAGCAGCCGCAGAGCAACTGGCTGGTTGGATGGGTTTGAGCTGGGCATGAAGAGCGAACCACTCGGGATGGGAAGTGGCGAGCTGGTTCCGCTTCTGCCTGGATGACTGGCCGTCGCTATTCAGTACTCGCTAAGTCGCTACTCGCAGTACCCGCTAGTCGCTAGAGCCCCGACTGCGAGAGCGGTGAGACTCGAAACTCGGCGGAGCGCGTCGTAAAACGGTCACCGTGGATAGAGAGCGCGCGGACCGAATTGACATCACCTCGTCTTTCGAGACCGCCTAACGTTCAAAATACTTAATCAACTCAAAGCCAACACCATCTACTATTACGAACAACCAAATACCGGATTTTTATGCAGTAAAGATGATCAAAATATACAGTTGAAAGCAATATGCAATGAGATACAGTATTAATACGTTCAAATATGGAATGATATGCAGTAGTAATACGTGCAAATATGCAATGATCTGCAGAATTAGTACATTCAAATGTGCAATGATATGCAATATTAATATATTCAAATATTCAATGATATGCAGTATTAAAACGTTACAATATGCAATGATATACAATACTAATATGTTCAAATAGGCAGATATGCAGTATTAATATGTTAAAATATGCAGTGTTAATACGTTCAAATATGCAGTATTAATACGTTAAAATATGCAATGATAAGGAGTATTAACACGTTCAAATATGCAATGTTATGCAGTATTAATATGTTCAAATATGGAGTATTAATAGATTAAAATATGCAATGATATGCAGTATATATATAAAGTGGAAGATTTATGGGCTGACAAACAGCTGAGGTCATCGCCGGCCCTCCGCGAGTATTCCTTCTTTTTCCTTTCTTTCTCGCGTATTTTGTATTGAACTGCAGCCATTTGAGCATCTCGATCTGGTTACTGACTCTCTGCTTTTACTTGTATATTATGTCGTTATTTTAAAAAGCTAGCCTTTTGTTAGTACCTCAGGTTGTCAATTTAAGAATAGATACACAACATACAATACATAACATATATATCGCCACAAACATAAAAGTCTGGTCGCATTCACTCCCCCAGAGTACTCGATATTCCTCGGGGCGGGGTAAATAACCCCTTCCTTTCACGCAAATAAATTACATTCATCCTAATGTATTAACACAAACACGACACAAACACTTCAGACACAACACAAGCACAGCACAAACACACATAAACTATATACATTTGAAGATCCCTATAGCCCTGAGGTACCGTACAGCGATTTGTGCCCGCTGCGTGCCCCAAGACTACGCACAGGTCCTATGATATTCCAAAATATTGATATGCAGTATTAATACGTTCTAATATGCAATGATCGATCTGCAGTACTAGTATGTTCAAATATGCAATGATATACAGTATTAATACGTTCAAATATGCAATGATCCGATCTGCAGTATTAGTATGTTCAAATATGCAGTACTAAAACGTTACAATATGCAATGATATACAGCATTAATACGTTCAAGTATGCAGTGTTATGCAGTATTAATACGTTCAAATGTGCAGTAATAATACGTTAAAATATGCAATGATAAGGAGTATTAACAGGTTCAAATATGCAATGTTATGCAGTATTAATATGTTCAAATATGGAGTATTAATACGTTCAAATATGCAATGTAGTATTAATATGTTAAAATATGCAGTATTAGTATGTTAAAATATGCAATGATATGCAATATTAATACGTTCAAATATGCAATGATCGATATGCAGTATTAAAACGTTACAATATGCAATAATATGCAGTATTAATATGTTCATATATGCAGATATGCAGTATTAAAAAGTTACAATATGCAATGATATACAGTAATAATACGTTCAAATATGCAGTGTTATGCAGTATTAATACGTTCAAATGTTCAGTATTAATACGTTAAAATATGCAATGATATGCAGTATTAACACGTTCAAATATGCAATGTTATGCAGTATTAACACATTCAAATATGAAATGTTATGCAGTACTAATATGTTCAAATATGTAATGTTATGCAGTTTTAATACGTTCAAATATGCAGTATTAATTCGTTCTAATATGCAATGATATGCAGTATTAACACATTCAAATATGCAATGTTATGCAGTATTAATATGTTCAAGTATGTAATGTTATGCAGTTTTAATACGTTCATATATGCAGTATTAATTCATTCTAATATGCAATGATATGCAGTATTAACACATTCAAATACGCAAAGTTATGCAGTATTAATACGTTCAAGTATGTAATGTTATGCAGTTTTAATTACGTTCAAATATGCAGTATTAATATGTTCAAATATGCAATGATATGCTGTATTAATACGTTAAAAAATGCAATGATATGCAGTATTAATACATTCAAATATGCAATGATCGATCTGCAGTATTAGCATGTTTAAATGTGCAGATATGCAGGATTAATATGTTAAATGTGCAATGATATGCAAAGAGTAATTCTGAAAAATGACAATTTCACTGTTCATTAAATATTTTAGGAAATAGTACTGTTAATACACCAATAACCAATGGACCAATAAATTTGAGCAAATACCAAATCTTGTTATCTTTATAAAATAATAATAAATAAAAAAAATTAAACCTTTTGATAAGAATAATAGTAGACATCTCTGACAATAATTTCCAAGAAGAAAATAGTAAATTTTATTAATGAATCTGTACAACCTAATATTAAATATTAGGTGTAAACTGAATTCTACAAAAGGTTCGCAACCGTTGTTACAAAAAAAAAATTTTAATCAGCCATTGTGGTTACATAGGTTTATAATTTACAAACCATTTCTTACTCAACAGTAAAATTTAAATTCATCCGTCACAGTTAATTGTTTAAATTAATAAATAAAAAACTTATAGTTCCAATGACCAGTATTTACAACTTCCCTAGAGGAAACCCCCATTAATGATTCTTAACCATCCGCATTCAGTGCATTTATTGCTCATGTAGTTGGTAACTCATTTGCACCAAACCATTTTTGTCATAAATGAGCTAGCTTAGGGAAAATAGGCAAAAAGTGGTGTAGGTCCTCCCCTCTGCATAGAGGCCACCAGCCTAACTGAGTGAACGGTAGATAGGAAAGAATGTACTTTAAGAATGAGAGAGTGAATGAGTTTGAATAACAGTATGCATTTAGTTGACCTATCTGTTGAAAGTACCCAAAGGTCAACCTCAGTGGCTGGACAGATGAGACCAAGGTCTGACCCTGGGCTGTCAGTGGCATTCTCAAGGCCTGCCGGTAATTCATTGTAAAGTACAAACGCTGGAATTGCTGGTGGACTGAAAGAAGTGATAAGCTCACTCTGAACAAGTGTGTGAATACATTTACGTGTGTTCATACTTGAGTTTATATAAATAATCAGTTAAAGTATGGATTTTGTTTCGATCCTTAAGACAATGCATTATGATGTTCTAAATATTCTTTAGTTTTGCCAGTTACTTAGTCGGAGAATTGCCCGACTTAAAGACTTCTTAAGTAGGCTAAAAAATTTCATTTCTCCTATTCAATGTTTAGCCAGTTTAATATAATACCAATTATATTTATAGGTAAATATTGTAATAATTGTTATAATTTTTGTTTTATATTAAATATACGTTTGATTTGAAAATTAAATATTCAAGTTAAAAAATGTGATAAGTAATTTTAAAAAATCATATGCATTGTCTGCAGGTTGAATAACGTTTGTTAGCTCATAGCTGACTGGAAAAAATAGGGTATTTAAAAGTGTAATTTTTTCATGATTTATTTATTATTACATAAACATCTTGTGTATAATAATAATAATAATAATGATACCATCACATGCACTTTATTTGGTTTGCTTTTCACACTCTTGAAATTAAATCCAAACAATTTATTAGATAAGAACATTCAAGAGATTATTTTTCAAAACGACTATTTATTAAACCTATAAATTTTAAAAATAATTGTCATAAATATGTGTTTGCACACACACCTTGTTTTAGGTAAAAAAAAAAAGTCTACTTATAATTTAGGCCAGCAAATAATTTTTATTTAAAGAAAATTTGTTTTTAAATAAAATTAATAATTCATAAAAATACAGTCTGCAATACATATTAAAAATCAATGGTGATATGTGCTCTTCAGATGTGTCTTTATTTATAAATAATAATTGTAAATAAATAAAAATTGCTGATAAAAGTTAATAGATTTATAAAATACTAATGGCTGCTAAAAAAAATTCAATAAATCAAGAGTAGCCTGTTAAAAAACAAGAAAAAAAAGGTACCAGAAAAGTTTAAAAAACAGTTAACAATATAGTTATAACACCTATTTACTTTATAGACATTTTAAATAAATATTGATTCATTTTTATCCTCACAGCAATACAGCAAATTTGTGGAATGAATTGATCTGGCAAATAATTTATGAATTAAGTTCATTAATAAATAAAGTTTAAAAAATATATATATTTTCAATTGTAGTTAAAACACTATTTGATAAATTAAACTATTTACAAATTTCCCTCTTTTGATATAAACCACAAGAAAATTTTTCTTAAATACTATTATACACTTAAATACTTGTTCTTTAATTTGAATATCTGCAACAAGGAGTTATTTACAGAGAGCATTACTTTCGTAAAGCTTTTCTATTCAGCTGAATTCGTTGAAAGCGAGCAAACAGCCGACTGCACCAAAATAACCCTTGAACATGTTATATAATTAGTTTTAAATTTTAAAAAAAATTAACAGCCAGTAATCACCTCATGCTCTAGAAACAAAGCTTTGAGAGTGCCTTTAGACCAATAGTCCATGGCATAGGCCAGTAATTTCATAGAAATAGGATTTACTCGTAGGAAGTTACCAACAAAAACAACCTAAAAGTAACAATAATAAAATTATTAATTGAGCAATTTCAATATTAAAAGTTGAATTGCAAACCTTATTGATTTTTTCATTGAGTGCACACATTCTAGCAATTGAACCTATGTTATTTGTTATTGTGACAAGTGTAGCACGTGCGAGGTCATTTTTAGTCACATTTTCACGTCTTTCTTTAGAATTCATGTGCCCAAAACTGAAAGAAAATTTAGTTTAAAATCTTCCATTATTTCAAATTTTCTACATTTAACCATAAAAAGTAACAAATTTCTTTGAATGTACAAACCTGCTGGCGACCAGTTCCCCAGGAAGACCAAACCTTGTGTAATCACCTCCATAAATATCCTTAACTAATTTGTCAACCTTTGTGTTATCCCCAATTGTTGCCAGTTCTATCGCTTCTTCAAATGTACTACAGCCAGTCAGTAGACAGCACAAACCCAAAAATGTCCCACCGCCCAAACTGTAAAATTAATTAATGATTACAAACTATACATGTTCAATTGTTAAAGAAAAATAATTAGGGAAAGGTGTTTGTATATGAATCGAAGATAAGGTAGAGCAAGAGGAATGGGAAGATAATGGATGTTTCACCCTTGCGAAGGGAAGGGAGTGGTGCCAAAGCCCCTTTGCCCTGCCTGACCCTTCGCCCTCTCACCCATGACATAAGGACCTATGCTCTGAGGATTGGGGTTTCCTAGGAGTGGACTGGTCCCCAAAAAATTAGAAACATACCTTGTGCCAGATATTCTTTTGTAGCTGTGAGGCCCATATACAGCAAGTACACTTACGCCAGAGCCAATGTTTACAATCTAAATGTTGTGATAGATATAATTATTACAGAAAATAAATATACACAGGTTTTTTAATACGCACAATAAACGGGTAAGGATTACTGAAGTCATAGCCTTCTTTTTTACACCTTTCTTCTTCTGTAGGATGTGACCAATAATAGACTTCTCGGGGGTTGTTAAGTTCTACAAAGAGCATGCCGCTGATGAGCGAATCGAGCTCGTCGAATTTGGCAAGCCTCATATTTACTTCCTGCAACCATAAAATCTCTTATAAACTGTTGCAAATCGTGACCCAGAGATTTGGGCATCTTTTTTACCTACACTAGCAAAGATGTCTTCAAATTTGTAGGCACCACCTCCTGTGGCACAGACTGTTGTTATCAAAGTTGCCATCCCTTGTTTTTTCGCTAGAGATAAAAAATTCTTCATTTCTGACGTAGGAAACCGTATAAAATGCACGGATCCCCTCCGCCCTCCGATTTCGACATTATCCATCTATAAAAAAACAAACAATTAAAATCTCTATCAGCTATCAGTCAGTTAACGATAAAATGACTTCAAAAACAATAGAAACATGTTTAAATAAAACTTTCAAACAAAAATATTAATTAACGACTTGGAATTATAATAAGTCATATGCAGTTTCTCAACATCAGTCACCTTTATTATCTTAATTCGGACAAGATAAAATAATAATTGGATTAAATTATGATTAAAATAATGAGGAGATGCCAAACAAACAAGGATATTTACTTAAAATTTAACTACAAACAGTTTTGACCACTCCTTACAACTCCTACAAATTATTTAACTTCAAAGAGATTTATTACAAGGAGAATTATGTTGAGATTTTGCAAGGACTAAAACTTTTTTTTGTATAAAATAATGAATTATATTAAGTGGTAATTTTTTTTTTTTTTTTTTTTTAATTGAACATCAATGGGACAAGGCCATAATTACAACCTATAGAAAACTACTGGAAACAAATGTATAAAAGGGTAAAAATACTACCTGAAATAAAACTAAGAACGGAAAAACCAGGAGAAATAATATTCATTCATGTTTCAAAAAAATAGAAAAAAAAAACAGAATAAATACAAACACAGGTAACACAGCAGGAATAGTAGCTTTGTGAAAGATGAAGGTAAAATAGAGAAGGTTCAATAAATGGAATAAAAGCAATTGGTAGGAAGAGCAGGAATAAAATTCAGGTTAAAGGTATATTGTCAAAAACAAAATATTTAAAATAAAAGTGCAGATTTTATACAAAGACCAAACAAAAATGTAGAAAATAGAATGAAAATAATACTAAAACTAAGCATATATAAAAGAACATATATATACTACATAGTATAAATTCAATTTAGTAGGCAATTTTGAACATAATTTTTAATCAAATGTTTTAATATACAAGCAAATAATCCTTTTAATTGTTAATGAATCAATTTGCATTGAAGTTAAACAGTATGTAAAAAAATTTGTTCTTTCCTTTTTAAAAAAAATTTTTTTTTAATAATAAAAATTTAAAATCCTTTTAATTAATAATGAAGTATGCATGATTCATTTGCGTTGAAGTTGTACAGTTTGTTAAAAAAATTTAAACCTTTTATTTGATAATGAAGTTTGCATGATTCAATTTGCATTGAAGTTGTACCGTATGTTAAAAAATATGATAAATTATTTAATCACTCAATATCAACGAAAGATGATATGGCTAATGAGTAAATCAGTTTTTTTGTGGTTTTTTTTTTTTTTAAATTATTAATTCACGTGATTTTATCAAGAGAGTTGATTTAATTTTTTTGTATATACTATCTTATCAACTGAACCATTAAAAAACTTCACCTGAAGATGTATATCGCGATGTCCTGTTTTCCCATATGCCGAATTTTTCGTTAAATACCTCCTAATGTTTTTCAGAACTTCGACCTCTTCGTTTTCTTCATCCGGCGTTATGTCTTTCGGTTCAAAATACACCAATTTCGTGAGAGTGCCACCGATATCCATACCGAACCAAGGCATACCTATAGACAAAATATTTCAGGTTCAAAATGGGATTAATAACTTAGCGACTGGGAATCGTCAAGGTTTTCTGTTGTTTTTCAAGCCGACAGTGCCACTGCCAAGGACATGACAGGCATTTTAAAGAAATTACATAAATTTACATAGATACACTTACATTTGATAGGTAAACCCTCCATGTGATATACCAACCTTGATACTGGCAAAGAAACAAGCAAAAGAAAAACTGGAGAGGGCGAGTAATTGTGAGAAATACGCCGTTAGCTCAATTCCATTGTTTGGCTTTTATACCCATTAAATAGAGAAAAAAGTTAACGAGAATAAAATAACTTAATATTAGAGAGAATCCCTCTTTTTAATCGTATATTATCAATCATTTTTTCAAATGTTACAATTAAAATGTTTTATCGATTGGCTAAAACTCAGCTTAAAAACTGAGACTTACCATTTTGTTAAGGTAAATAATTAAGATTATGTTTGAACAACTTTTGTTTTTTGATTGGGATTTCTACAGGATATTTGCTTAAAACTATAAGAACATGACAGATAAGTAAAATAATTCCTGTCATATTGGGAGGGGGGGGGACATTCCATCCATGGTAGAAGAGGTCAAAAGGTCATCTTATAACACTTTTTCAAAATTACTCTCAATTAAAATCCTATGGATTATGCTGGAATTCAAACCCAGACCTTTAGTATGGCAAGTACGAGTTGGATCCCCTAACAACCTGGCCACTAAGTACCCAACACAACATATATAAGCTTACTTTATTATATAACTGAAAAAATATACGATTGTAATTAAATGTCTATGTTATGCTGTCCAACCTGTACTTTATACTTCATATATAATTACAAAAATGTATTCAGACTTAACAGCTATGAAATGCTATTATCTGCTGTTAAAATTATTGTTATTATGTAGAGATTCAACACCCTCATCAATCAAGGAATCATTTTATTGCCTATTATCATTATTATTAATATATTTAGTAGGAGACTCGGTGGCCGAGTGGTTAGGATGTCTAACTATTTGGGACACTAGCACTTCCTTGATTCGAACCCCCTTTTTTTAATGGATTACATATGAAAAATATATTCTAAAGTGGTTTGACCCCTCGTCTGCGACACGAATAGCTGGAATTTAAGTCCTCCCTTTTACATTGCTTTACTTAATAAATTAAAAAATAAATACACAACAAACAATATAAATTAGTCAATTGTATATAAATTATGAGAGTATAAGTAAGCTTGTATTCACCTAACATTTTTTTAAATTACAAAAGCAAAAATTGAAGGCAAAGGATGATAAGAGTGAGATTTTTTTTAAACTAACAAAATTATACTCACATGGATATTCAATGGCCTCCAGTGTATTTTTCCCATTAGGTATTGTCCCACTGGCCATTCTTAGACCATCACACACTTTACAGCTTCTTGGAGCCATCTGGAATTTATAAAAATAAATATAAATTTCTGTGAAGAGTAATTACTAATTATAATTATTGAGGTGATTAAGAGGAAAAACTACATATAACAATTTTTAAAGGTTTTTTTGAACAGAGAATAGTTTGATATATGCATTTTTGTATTTAAAAAGAAATAAATAATAGTATAGATTTTTTATACATCTCTTTTATTCATCTTGTAAGCAAGACTTACTGGTTAATATTAAATATGAAAAGTCCTTACAGCAACGTGTGTAAAAACTTACCGCCAGAACGTATCGGTTTTTATCACAATTATGTAAACTACAAAAATATCACGACAGATTTTAATCGATGATAGTACCTAATATCGTTCACAACCAAATGCAGGGATACAATTAAAGTTCAAATACCTGAGTGTCACAACCCGAACGATTGTATTGTAATGAACCATTCACATCCCCAACCATTTCGAGGTCTTGACACATATCCTGCCGTTAAAGAAATGAGATTAAGAAAAGATAAAAAAACCCTTAAGAAGGGAAGGGGGAAATTAAGAGAGGGAGTTGTCTTCGGGAGAACAATAATCATTGAATGTACAAAAATCAATGAGAAAATGTTTCCACTTATTATTTGTGTGTTGAAATGGTTGAAAATAAAATACAACCAAAAACATTATATAAATTTGTCAGGGATCCATTTAAATCACATTTTTAATATCAATGATATGTTAATTTAATGTAAGGCAAGAATAAATTTTAAAAAAGTGTCCTCAAATAAAAATTATTTACTGATTTAAATAATCTCAATCAATTTAATAAGCGGTTAAATTTGCTTTAACTGCTTTTTAATTAATAAATGATTTTTTGATTTATTAAACAGATTTTTATATCAGTTTAAATTTGCTTAAACAGTAAATCCCAACAACCATTTTATAAAAGTCAGCTCCTACAATAATAATAAAAAAAGAGTTAAATTATACATAATGTAATTTCCAAGTCTATTTGGCACGAACTGATTTGTGAACAATGTACATGAATAAATCAAATAGTATACGAATGGAACAATCGCTGTACCACCCACTGATACAATTGCGAATCTAACAATGACAACAGTACTTATATTTAAATTTCAAGTAGCATGTATAAATTGAAATGGTAATATATTGTTGAGTTACTTTTAATTGAGGAAAAAAATTTTAAATAATTTTTTGACAAAAATAACCCCTTTTTGAAAATTAAACAATTGAATGAAACAATCGGGTGGTTAAAGCAGTTTCAAACATAGATGGAAACTTAATTTCATGATTCTGCAATATTGTTAATTAGACAAGTAACTATTTTCGATCCTTTTTAAAAAGATAATTCCTACTCACAGTAAGTTGTTTTCAACGATCCAGATTTCGAGCTTTTAACTCATCATCAGATTGAAGGAGTTCTACAACCACCTCTCTTGACATGAATGGCAAATGTGAACCCCACCGATCCCCCACTAAGCTCAAAGCTCGAAATCTGGATCATTGAAAACAACTTACTGTGAGTAGGAACTTTCTTTTTTAAAAAGGATTGAACACCGCACTCACTCCACCATTCATCATTTCAAGTAACTATTTGGTCATGTACATTGCTAGGATTTCCCTCGGCAGCTCAAAACAACTTCAATTCACTGCTTACTCATTCATCAAATATTTTTAACTATTGCCCAAATCAAAAATTTGCTTAAAAAAGCAGAACCTGTGCCAATGAGATTAAAAGGCTACATATAATTAAGAGAAGAATAGCCATATACTTAAACAGTTAGGCAGTGCAGTGGGCAATTACCGCATCGATAGTAAAACCCAGAGTCATTTGAGATTGCATAGGGCCCACTCAGACATTGGGGAAAACGATAAAATTACCCTAGATCCATTGGTCAATGATTGAAAATAAATCCTCCATTCAATGAGAATGTAGCCCAGAACAGACACATGTGAAAAAGTGAAAAAATCAAAGGACCTTGCAGAAATTGACAACATAACATAGGACATGTTAGGACTGGAATAATAGTTGGACTGCTAACTGGACACTGCAGATTCCGGAGGCATATGCATAGCTTATGCAGATTGCCCAGGAAGAAGAAGAAACAGTGAAACACGTCCTCTGTAGATGCAAAGGAGTCCTACTCCTTGGAGAGGAAAAGCCATTAATTAATCAAGAGCTCTAGACAACAATGTAGATTCACAAAAAATTGAGATATGCAGGTCATAGAAGGCCGACTCCTACTTTAATCTTAATCTTAGGTTAATATGAGATTTCTGGAATTTCTAAAAGGTAGAGGTGGGACCCCCCACTCTATTGTCTTATGCTTCCCAGGCTTGGGGCTATCAGTGGTATGATGTAATTGAAACCCTGCAATGTCATCATCTGTAAAGTTGATCACCTCCCTTCTTTTAACCTTAATTATATATGTAAATTCAATTGACTACATTTCCATTTACATTAAAATTACACCTCCTATGTCTGTAAGGTCCTAAACCTTCGTAGAATTGATTAGGTTTCGTGGTCCGATTGACCAAATAAATTCTTTTCAATTAATTAATTTTTAAGTAAGGTTTTTAGTCGAGATAAAAAAGTCAGTGGCACGAGCGGTATTCGAACCCACAACCTTCGACTAAATACGCTGCTGCTCTATCACTTGAGCTATTGTGACTTCGACCCACTCGGACACCAACTTCCCACCTCGACCCCACCTTTTTAATTTTCCCTCCTTTTTTGCCATTTTTCAAATGTCGTGTAATCTATTTGATTCTCGGCAACAAATGAAATGGCCACGGAAGCTTTATTTCTCTCAACCTTACTTAAAGATTAATTAACTGGAAACTTCCTGGAATTATAACACTAGAGGTTATTAGTTCCAATTTCCACTCTACAACATAAAATTTCATATAAAAAGGGGAAATTACAACTTCCTTGCAATGGAAGTGACTGATTACTGATTTATAAAAGTTGGTATTCACATAAGCTTTAGTGCCCTTACCAAACATGTCTGTAATGTTTGTTTTTAAACCTAATAATTCGATGGTTGCAAACCATAGCCACAATGTGCTTTGTATTGTACTATAGTTATGTTATAATTTTTTTTTATTTGTTTATTTAATTAAGTACTTTTTTCATTCATTCAAGGCAGAATGCTAAACCTCCTATTTATTCAGCATACTACTGTTCTAAGCCTGACATAATCCTTTCTCCATTTGGCGATGATGCCATTCTCACATCAAATCAAGTCCTAACCATTGTTCTTAGTAAACTCATTTAATAGTCATTGAACCCTGGGTCTTCACGTCATGAAGGTCAATGCCGCCAAAAGTCAATATATAACTTTTACTCCTGGGTATTCTTCCCTCTCTTATCTTTCCTGGGTCTCCTCTATTGACTCGAGGCCTAATTAAATTCTCTTCACTAAAGATGGTGTGATGCTCAAATGCATTTGAGTGAAATATAAGTTAGACACGGTAAAGTGATCAGTGTCAATCAGTTCAACTAATTAAATTTATTATATACTTTAGTTATTCAGATATCGTGATATATCTGATTGTTCAGATAATATTATATACAAAGAATAGACTTTGATGTGAATCCTTTATCAACTTTTCACGATAGAAAAATCAGACGGTGTGTTCTGGCCATACATTGTAACTTCAAACACACAGAAGTTCAATTTAACGTCTTAAGAAAAACCACTAATGCCTCTTAATAAATATTTACAGTTGTAAATTTTATTCTAATTCTGAATATTAAACAAGTGTGCATGTTTTATTAAATACACCATATATACAGGGTGAATTGCTACTCGTGCTACAAACTTCTCCAGTAGATTCTTCACCCTAAAATGAACAAAAAAGTTCATATTGTCCATGGTCCGATTGTCAACCATTTCAGAGTAATTTCGCTTTTTATCGATTTTGAAAGATATCACGTCCTGGCGTCGGAAAATCGTGATATCTTTTAATCTAAACATTTCTCTGAAAATCTAATAGCACCGTTGAAATTCCCGTTAATTTTTCAATAAGAAGATGACGGTGGCAAAATGTTTGGGCTAATTTTTTGTGTTTTATTTCAGCCAGAACTACAAAAAGAGTGGAAAATTGTGTAAATCGGAAAGTGTATAAAGTAATCCAGAGTTTCTAATTTTAGTCTCAGAAGGCAGCAAATTTGAGGAAAACTACCTGATTTAATAACGCTTCCAACGCACTCGTCATTTTCTTATTTAGTGGTTGTGAGACCAAGATGTTGATGACAAAAAGAGAAAAAATGGTGGTTCAAGGATTGCTAATGTTTGAGAGTGACTTGCTACTCGTGCTACAAACTTCACCAGTAGATTCTTGACCCTAAAATGAACAAAAAAGTTCATATTGACCATGGTCCGATTCTCAACCATTTCAGAGTAATTTCGCTTTTTATCGATTTTGAAAGATATCACGTCCTGGCGTCGGAAAATCGTGATATCTTTTAATCTAAACATTTCTCTTAAAATCTATAAGCACCGTTGAAATCCCCGTTAATTTTTCAATAAGAAGATGAAGGTGGCAAAACGTTTGGGTCTTTCTTCCTTGACCTTCTAGCTGTTTGTAAACTTCTTAAGCATTACATACTAAATGGGCATTAAATTAAATTAAAAAATTTCAATGGAATTATGATTTTGATTCTCTCTAAAAATTAACGGGGATTTCAACGGTGCTTATAGATTTTAAGAGAAATGTTTAGATTAAAAGATATCACGATTTTCCGACGCCAGGACGTGATATCTTTCAAAATCGATAAAAAGCGAAATTACTCTGAAATGGTTGAGAATCGGACCATGGACAATATGAACTTTTTTGTTCATTTTAGGGTGAAGAATCTACTGGAGAAGTTTGTAGCACGAGTAGCAATTCACCCTGTATAATAAAATAATTACTACAAAACAAAATTAATACAAGTACCAAATAAATAAATAAAACTTACATCTGTTCACAAAGGAAAAGCTAAAAACTTGTAGATCT